TACTGCAAATGGCAAATAAACTGAATCTGAATCTGATCTGAATCAACCACACAATCAAACAAACAATGAGAAACATGTTTCAGGGCGGCACGGTGGCTGAGTGGATACCACTCTCGCCTCTCAACAAGAAGGTCCTGGATTTGAATCCCAGTCGGACCAGGGCCTTTCTGAGTGGAGTTTGCATGTTCTCCCTGTGCCTGTGTAGGTTTCCTCCTGGTACTCTGGTTTCCCCTACCACTAAAAACATGCACACTAGGTTAAATCCTCCAGCTCTGGTCCTGACCAAGCCGAGCATCAACATCTGGAGATGGGTTCCCGGGCGCTGTTACTACGGCGACCATTGCTCCTGACGTAAGCCCTAGTGGCATCAGGATGGGTCAAATGCAGAGGACAAATTTCCCTACGGGCACAATAAAGTGCACATTTACATTTACATTTTATTTAAGTACTTCTAATCTTAAATACATTTAAGCCATTAACTCCGACATGATCAGGTCTGTTGGATTTCAAGCGGCAAGGAGCTTGTGCTCAAAAAGTAAGTACTCATGACCTTAAATCTGGTCTGTAAGTTCACGTCCTCTTGTCTTCTGTGTCCAGCTTCATGTTCACAGATGTCCCCCTGTCATCAGTAAATGCACATTCTCACATTTACATGTTATGTTATGAGTCCACTCACTCAGTCACTCACTCACTATATCGTCCCGCACTATGTAGTGAGTGAGTGAATAAGGTATAGTGTGGACATTCAGATAAAGACAAAGTCGTGTTCTGGCCCTGGCTACATCTATGGAGGATTGGCGGATCGATTGCTTCTGTCTTGATTTAGCCGGAAATCAAGCATGACATTTCAAGCAGTGAAAAAAAAATGCTACACATTTTTGGAGACTGAATTTTAAAACATTTAATTTATTTACACTGAACACTTTTTTGTCACAGTTTATAAAATTCAAAAGCAAAAAAAAGTGTTGATAATAAAAACACAAAATAACCTTCATAGTTTTCTTTCTTGTTTTGTGAAGCTCTTTGCTCTGTGTACAATGGGACAAAGGGACAAAAGGACAAGGAGACAAATTCTCTGGCTGTAGTTTTGGGCTGGTCTCACATGGTGTATGTGCACCTGGTAACCATGGAAACACTGTGGTCCAAAACAAAAAGTGAAGTGATCAGAGGCTTTAAAAACTCTGTCTCCTCTGCACAGATTCAGAACCTGCAGGTGCACGACAACTATGACCGAGTCCCACACAGGCTCAGGACACACACACACCCAATGTCACACACATACACACACACACACACACACACAATTTAGTCTCACAAAATGTCAGTGTGTATTTGTGACCCACTCAATGTCACACACACGCGCAATTCTGAACTCGCTGGACATGCCTGGAGGACAGAAGCTCAAGTCATTGTTTCGTTTGTAGAAGTTTTTATTCAGCAATGGTGAAAAAATACTATGTTGCATTAGTGTAGTCGGGACAAATGGACAATGCACAGTTTTCCCGGTGAAGTCGATGCTAATGTAGGATTCATACAAAAGTTGAGCCAAAATCACATGGACTTTTCTCTGGTCACGTCACAGGAGGTTTGTGTGTGAGATAGAGAGAGACTAGGGAGAGGCCAGAGAGAAAGAGAGACCAGAGAGGAACTAGGGAGAGACCAGAGATAGAGAAAGAGAGACCAGGGAGAGGCCAGAGAGAGACATGAAAGACTAGAGAGAGATAGAGAGAGAGAGAAGAGTGAGACCTGAGAGAAAGAGAGACCAGGGATGGGCCAGAGAGAGGCCAGAGAGAGAGAGAGAGAGAGAGCCACCAGGGAGAGGGCAGAGAGAGAGAGAGAGAGAGCGACCAGAGAGACATGAAAGACCAGAGAGAAACCAGAGATAGAGAGAGACACACACAAACAAGAGAGAGACATGAAAGACCAGAGACACCAGGGAGAGCGAGACCAGAGAGATAGAGAGAACAAAGAGACACCAGAGAGAGAAGAGCGAGACCAGAGAGATAGAGAGGCCAGAGAAAGAGAGAACAAAGAGACACCAGAGAGAGAAGAGCGAGACCATAGAGAGAGAGACCAAAGAGAGACACCAGAGAGAGAAGAGCAAGACCAGAGAGATAGAGAGACCATAGAGAGAGAGACCAAAGAGAGACCAGATTAATAGTCATGTTTTAACAGCGGTGATGCACATGATGTTGTTGGAGAATACATGAAAGACCAGAGAGAGACCAGAAGGTTATACAATTCAATTCAATTCCATTTATTTTGTATCGCCCTAAATCACAAAAGTAGTTTTTGATTGGCCTACACAGATCAGAGAATCAAACAGTTCCAACACAAGAAATGCAATGATAAAAAAAATACATAAAGCCATTGGTCCATAAGGGACAGAGACCAATGTCCAGGTCTGTCCTTGGACCCTCGTGCTAGTGGTTATATGATGTTGGAGTATACATGCGGAGAGAGCAGAGAGGGACCAAAGAAAGAGACCAGTGAGAGAGACCAGAGAGGCCAGAGAGAGACCAGAGAGAGAGACCAGAGAGAGACCAGAGAGAGAGACCAAAGAAAGAGACCAGTGAGAGAGACCAGAGAGAGACCAGAGAGGGACCAAAGAAAGAGACCAGAGAGAGACCAGAGAGAGACCAGAGAGGGACCAAAGAAAGAGACCAGAGAGAGACCAAAGAAAGAGACCAGTGAGAGAGACCAGAGAGAGACCAGAGAGGGACCAAAGAAAGAGACCAGTGAGAGAGACCAGAGAGGCCAGAAAAGAGAGACCAGAGAGAGACCAGAGAGGGACCAAAGAAAGAGACCAGAGAGAGAGACCAGAGAGGCCAGAAAGAGACCAGAGAGGGACCAAAGAAAGAGACCAGAGAGAGAGACCAGAGAGGCCAGAGAGAGACCAGAGAGGGACCAAAGAAAGAGACCAGAGAGAGAAACCAGAGAGGCCAGAGAGAGACACCAGAGAGGGACCAAAGAAAGAGACCAGTGAGAGAGACCAGAGAGGCCAGAAAAGAGACCAGAGAGGGACCAAAGAAAGAGACCAGAGAGAGAGACCAGAGAGGCCAGAGAGAGACCAGAGAGGGACCAAAGAAAGAGACCAGAGAGAGAGACCAGAGAGGCCAGAGAGAGACACCAGAGAGGGACCAAAGAAAGAGACCAGTGAGAGAGACCAGAGAGGCCAGAAAAGAGAGACCAGAGAGAGATCAGAGAGGGACCAAAGAAAGAGACCAGAGAGACTAGAGAGGCCATAAAGAGAGACCAGAGAGAGAGCGACCTGAGTGACCAGAAAGAGACTAGAGAGACCAGAGAAATGTTTTGAATGGTAACAGTCCTGTAATACTATCGGTCATATGATGCTGTATATGATGAGTGACGAGAGAGATAGACCAGAGAGAAACCAGAGAGAGCCCAAAGAAAGAGACCAGAGAGGCCATAAAGAGAGACCAGAGAGAGAGAGACCAGAGAAATGTTATAAATGGTAACAGTCATGTAATACTATCGGTTATATGATGCTGTATATGATGTTGTTGGAGTATATATGGAGCGAAAGACCAGAGAGAGACTAGAGAGAGAGACCAGAGAGACACCAGAGAGACACCAGAGAGACACCAGAACTTGTTGAACCTTGTTAAAGTAAGGGTCCAGTGTTGATATCAGTCAGTTTCGGGCCTGATGATTGGACGAGCCCTGATCTGGAGCTTCATAAACAGACGCTGCTGTCAGAAGCAGTGAAACAAGAGACCGATGAAATGTGGTTAATGCTAGTGATTGACAAACCTTAAAAAGATACAAGAAATTAAAAAACAAAATAAAAGCAGTTCTTGAAATAAAACTAAATGGCTTTGTCCCATTTAGTACCTCATATTTTCTCACATTTTGCAGTGTACCTTTAAGCCAGACCAAGCCGATGGAAGCAGAAAGACGGTGTGTCATTGCCCAAAGCTCGTGACCATAGGTATATGCACAACACCCTGAGCTCTGACTGCAGACGCTGCTCCCTCTTCACCAAAACAGTCCGATACAGCCACCCGTCTGTCAATCTCACGCTCCTTCCTTTCCTCAATCGTGAACGAGACCTTGTGATCATTGAACTCCACCGCTTGAGGAAGGACTTCAGCACCAGGAGAGGACGAGGCACTTTGTTGGGGTCTGGTTCCATGGCCTGGGATCAGGACGAGCTGATCCTCACACTCAGCTGCAGACCGTCCCAGGGAAGGGAGAAGGTCCAGGTATTTTGTTGTAGTCAAACAAATATCGTCAGGACACGGTCGAGATTAAATCCTGCGGTCCCCAGACTTGACTCCCTCCTTTAGCTCCTGAAAACTGCTCCTCCTGAACCGGTCTCTTAGCACCTTGGAATAGACCTGAACGCACAGGCTCAGGAGTGTAATTGGACTGGAGAAATTCAAATTCCAGCTTTTTTCCACCAGCCAAACTCTACTCTACTCTACTCTACTCTACTCTACTCTACTCTACTCTACTCTACTCTACTCTACTCTACTCTACTCTACTCTACTCTACTCTACTCTACTCTACTCTTTTCATTTTAATGCGTTGTGTGATTGTTTCCATCTTGATTTGCTCAGCACTTGTGTGTGAACTTGTCTAGAGTAGAGTAGGGTGGAGTAGAGTAGAGTAGAGTAAAGGTAGAGTAGGGTGGAGTAGAGTAGAGTAGGGCACTCTTTTCAATGTACTGTGATTATGTATTATTTTAACGCCTTGTGTGATTGTTTTAAGCACTTTCAGTTCCCTTGTGTATGAACTGTGCTATACGTATAAGCTTCTCTTGCCTAGAGTAATGTAGAGTAGAGTAGATTAGAGTAGATTAGGGGCAGGTGGAAATGGGGTCATAGACTGAGGGAGTCAGAGTTCAAACGTGCAGCAGTTAGACAGAAGGGTTGGGGGGACGTGCTTGTGCCGAGAGTGCCAAAAAGGTCCTAAAAATAGCGCCACTGTAAAAAACACTAGGTCTGTTTACTTAAGAATCATTTCAGAATATCGTATCATATGTAATCAGAGTATTGCTCCTCTGGTCTCTCCTCTGGTCCCTCCTCTGGTCCCTCCTCTGGTCCCTCCTCTGGTCCCTCCTCTGGTCCCTCCTCTGGTCCCTCCTCTGGTCTCTCCTTTGGCTCGGACTCAAAGACCACAGCGTCCAGTCTGGAGCCAGTCCCAGTGCATAGGGTCACAGTGAAAAGGTCCACCTCCTCCTCCTCCTCCTCCTCCTCCTCCTCCTCCTCCTCCTCCACGGCTGCAGGAGGCTGGCGACTGGCCGGTTTCAGGGACAGGCCGGACCACACGGAGCCTTTGCTGGTGTACGGGGCCTTGCCATTCCCTTGGTCCGTGTGAGAGTCCCCGCAACGGCTCTCGACGTCGCTGCTGCTGCTGTCGTCGTCGCTGCTGCAGTACCCCGTCTGTCCACACGGGGGCGCCCGGAGTGTGCTGAAGTGCAGAGAGGAAAGCGGGGGATGGAGCAGCACCATGAGCCTCTCCTCCAGGTGCCACACGGAGCTCTGCGGGAGGAGAAGAAGAATTAAGTCATGATTTACATTTAGGGGACTTACACCGAGCGTTTAATCCAGTTTCATTCTTAAAGGAGACGGTTTTATACGTAGCTTCAACACCAGGACTTCAACGATTCTGAAACTACTAGAACTGAGGATCATTCCCTTTCACAGGAACCGGTCACATCAAATGGGCAGAGGGGTAACCGTAGCAACGAGGATCAAATGTCTGTCTGTCTGGAATTCTGAGAAATTCCCCCCAAAATGTTTAGTTTTTCACCAGTTTGTGAAAAAATAAACAAATATAAAAGTGGCATTACAGGCTGTAGTGTTGCGTCAATGTGAGTGAGATGACTGACAACGGGGAGAACATGCAAACTCTACACAAAGAGGCCCAGTGAAACCCAGGAGTCAGTGAGACCATTTTAAGAAGCATAATGTTGTGTATTTGTGTCTGGAAAGGCGTATTATTATAAAGACTGTGTTAAAACCAGATTTGCCAATGGGACAAAGCAAAATGATCTTGTTTTGAAAAGACACAACAAATGTCTCCCTTGGAATGAGGAAATAAATAAATGGTTTTTGAAATAAGACGACCGTGATTTTTTTGGATTATAAATCACACGCGCTGAAAATGTATAATAATAAAGACGAAAAAAATACATATAAGTCGCACTAGAAAAATCCAACAACAAGAACAGACATTTCATCTTTAGGCAATTTAAATTAAAATCAGAATAAAGAAAAACAGCTGAATAAGTGTAGGTTATATGAGGCATAAACAACGACCTCACAACGTCACATTACTTAAGCAAAAAGAACGTGCTACAAGTTTAAAGGAGCAGTATGTAAACATTTGGATAAAAAGTGGTACTGCAGCCTCTCCCACTCTCCCTGACTCAGGTTGCCAGATATGCAGACGAATCCAGCTGGGACCATAACAGCTGAATAGACAAGAGTTTTGTCAACAACAAATCTATAACCAACACCTTTTTCACAAAGATAGAAATCCTGGTTTTATTCCTTGTTTTGTCGTTAATGATTTGAGAATCATAACGAGACCTTTTTTAGTTCTGCGCCACATGGTACTTTACCAGTGAGATTAGCTCCACGCCCGGATTAGCTCCACGCCCGGATCACAGACTTTCTGATTGGTGAAACGGTGGAGGGCGGGACATCGAAATGAAAACAATAACAAGATTTAGGGGCTGGAAAAGTAATTTAGAAATTCAAATATCTCTGAACTACTGTTATCAGTTAAAGAAGTATTGGAAAAGAACAGGTTTTATTTTTTTATGATGACAGATTAGGGCCCTTTAATTATGACAGATTAGGGCCCTTTAATGATGACAGATTAGGGCCCTTTGATGATGACAGATTAGGGCCCTTTAATGATGACAGATTAGGGCCCTTTAATGATGACAGATTAGGGCCCTTTGATGATGACAGATTAGGGCCCTTTAATGATGACAGATTAGGGCCCTTTAATGATGACAGATTAGGGCCCTTTAATGATGACAGATTAGGGCTCTTTGATGATGACAGATTAGGGCCCTTTAATGATGACAGATTAGGGCCCTTTGATGATGACAGATTAGGGCCCTTTAATGATGATGTGGCCGTCCTCCTGTGGACTCACCACCTGCAGAGGGTCAGTGAGGGGCTGGTGCTATGAGACTTGGGTGGCATCTCTGACTGCCACCCCCCTGACCTAGAAATGGATTAAAGGGTAGAAAATGGATGGATGGATGGATAATTTCAGTATAAATCCCACCCTCGGCCAAACTATGACAAAAACTAATTTATAATCCGAAAGATAATTATTTTGTCCCATTGGTAAATCTAGTCTGAACAAGATTAAGATCAAAACCACTTGATTCAGGCCTTTATTTTATAATTTTTTAATCACTTTGTGTGGTGTTTTTAAATCAGTTCAGAGTGTTCTTGTTTGTGAGAGACCTTCTGTTTCCATCAGAGCGTTTTCGCTGAAGTTCTACGAAAGTGGAGAAAGGTGAGAAACCACATGTCTCTAAACTTCCTTTTTCACTGTTGTTTTTGAACAAATGGCTTTAACCGCTTTCCATCTGACTCTGACTGATAGTGCAACAATTTTACATCTATTTTGTGCAGGAAACATGCAAAGTTAAAACTGAATTAAAGCCGCAAGCAGCAATGACAGCCCTCCCAACATCAAACAGGAGGAGGCCGGGTTTAGACAAACAAGTGTGTGTCCGAGGAAACGGTTTAAATCTAAGAATGGCCAAAACTGAACAAAGATCGAGTTGATTTAATGATAAAGACGTCATGAAATTATCGGTTTATGTTTTTCACATTTTTCTCGAGTCGCTGAGTTTGATGTTTAGCTTCTTCACGACAGTTTCACGGCCTCCAACTGTTGTTCTGTTTACGTGACGTCGGCCTGAGGCTTCGTTTAAAACACTGTGTGTTTGGTTCATGTTGCACACCTCATCATTGTTTCATGAGCCGCTAACGCTTCTAGAAGCACAGCTAACGCTTCTAGAAGCACAGCTAACGCTTCTAGATGCACAGCTAACGCTTCTAGAAGCACAGCTAACGCTTCTAGATGCACAGCTAACGTGCACAGCAGCTGGAGGTCACTTTGTTTATGTAATACTGTTTGTGTTCTCACCAGAGCTGAAGGCAGAGCTGCCCTGAGGCAGATGCGGCCAGAGGCGAAGAGAGCGAGGAGCAGGAGGACGACCAGCACCAGCACTACTGCCACCACCGCCAGGGGGCGCTCTGACACACATATACACACACATAGACACACACACACAGGCACACAGACACACCCACACACACGCACAAACACAGACACATACACAGACACACACTTTACATTAGTTTAAGGTCCTGAGCTTTGGCCTGGTCAGTGTCACAGCGCCTCCTGCAGGTTTGAATCATTCTTCTCTTTAACATTAGCTTCCACTGCTACAGAGACACAGCTTTACATGTTTATGAAACCACATCACACTGATCCATTAGAAAGGCGCTGCTGCAGCTGTCAAAAGCCGTGCATACACTGTAAAATACAGCTGCAGAGGACACTGAAGGACAGGAGCAGGACTGAGGGCTACGGGAAGACCAGACCGAGACCAGAGAGAGACCAAAGAGAGACCAGAGAAAGACCAGAGAGAGACTAGAGAGACCAGAGAGAGACCAGAGAGAGACCAGAGAGAGACTAGAGAGAGACTAGAGAGAGACCAGAGAGAGACCAGAGAGAGACCAGAGAGAGACTAGAGAGAGACCAAAGAGAGAGACCAGAGAGAGACCAGAGAGAGTCCAGAGAGAGACCAGAGAGAGACCAAAGAGAGAGCAGAGAAAGACCCGAGAGAGACTAGAGAGAGACCAGAGAGAGACCAGAGAGAGACCAGAGAGAGACCAGAGAGAGACCAGAGAGAGACCAGAGAGAGACCAGAGAGAGACCAGAGAGAGACCAGAGAGATAAATGTAACTGTCATGTTTTATATTACTATACTGTGCACGGTGGCTGAGTGGTTAGCACTCTCGTCTCTCAGAAAGAAGGTCCTGATTGCGATTTGTTTGAGGTTGTTAACAGTGATGAATCCAAACAGGTGCCATTAATACAGGGAACGAGCGGAGGACAGAGGAGCCTCTCAAAGAAGGAGTTGCTTGTTTGTAGTTGATGGAAAAAAATATTTAATTTGCACCATAATTTGTAAATAATGTCTTTAACAGAAAACCTTTGGGCTCGGTCATAGCCAACAAAGGGTATATAACAAAGTAGTGAGATGGACTTTTGTTATTGACCCAATACTTATATTCCACCATAATTTGCAAATACATTTGAAAGTGATTTTTGAGGTTTTTTTCAGAGTTAAGGTTTACCTATGATGAAAATTATTGCACAACTGGTGTCTGACTAAACACTTTTTTGCCCCACTGTATATAATCTTCTGTATAATGCTGTAAAAATATTCTGCAAAACTGAAGCAGCGAAAGATGAACCGTGCTACAGTGAACTCAAACTGAGCTGGAATGAAATGGTGGATAAGTCAGAGATGTCTTGGATAAATGATGGGACCCGGTCGTGGCTGGACTCACCTGCAGTGATGGGCTCAGGGGCGTAGAGGCACCGAGGGGGACCGAAGCTGGACTCACGAGACACGACCTCATCCAAGAAACGGACGGACACACAGTACTCAGAGCCCAGCCTCACGTGAAGAACCGAGTCCAGAGATCCGAGGGACCGGAAGGACTCCACCTGGATAGGACAAGACAGGACAGACAGGACAGACAGGACAGAGGAAGACAGACAGGACAGACAGGACAGACAGGACAGAGGAAGACAGACAGGACAGACAGGACAGGACAGGACACACAGGACAGGACAGACAGGACAGACAGGACAAGACAGACAGGACAGACAGGACAGACAGGACAGACAGGACAGGACAAGACAGGACAGGACAGGACAGGACAGACAGGACAGGACAGGACAGGACAGACAGAACAGGACAGGACAGACAGAAAATGACAGACAGGACAGGACAGAACAGGACAGGACAGACAGGACAGGACAGGACAGAACAGACAGAACAGGACAGGACAGACAGGACAGGACAGACAGAAAAGGACAGACAGGACAGGACAGAACAGGACAGGACAGACAGGACAGGACAGGACAGAACAGACAGAACAGGACAGGACAGACAGAAAAGGACAGACAGGACAGGACAGAACAGGACAGGACAGACAGGACAGGACAGGACAGACAGGACAGGACAAGACAGGACAGACAGGACAGAGGAAGACAGACAGGACAGGACAGAGGAAGACAGACAGGACAGGACAGAGGAAGACAAGTGAAAATAATGGTCACTATCACTTGAGTTCATTATGACCTGAAACATGTGAAAAGCAGTAGTAACTCATGTCATGCTTTTTAAACAGGGAATATTTCTTTGGACATTGATCCTCCTGATCCTCCTCCTCCTCCTCTTCCTCCTCCTCCTCCTCCTCCGTCTGGGAACCTCACGTTTTCTCCCCACTGTATCATGTTTTGAGGGTCTACGGATGGTGACGATCGAGAACATATTAAAGTCATGTCTGACAGTGGTCGTCCTGCTCCCTGTGGACCAACGGCTCCTGTGTGTTTGTTGTTATTGCATTTCCTGTTTTCCAACTGATTCTCTGATCTGTTTGGGTGATTCACACATAACAATAATAATCTAAAAAAAAAAAACAGTCTGATCGGAGCCGTGTGGAGCAGACTCACCATGAGGCGTCTGCCCTCGGTCTGGACCTCGAGCTCGTACCAGAAGGAGTCGTAGAGAGAGAAGAGAGCGGGGACCGGGGCCTCCAGGTGCACACAGAGGGAGGGGCCACAGAGAGTCGGCCTTGGGAGCGGGGGCTGCAGTTCAGCTGCGGAACAGGCACAAACAGGAGGTCAGTGGATATCGCAAAACTGTCAAATCGTCACATTTTGCCAATTCCCAGTCCTATTGAGCATGTGTGTGTGTGTGTGTGTGTGTGTGTGTGTGTGAGTGTGTATGCGCATGTGTGTGTGTTTGCATATGTGTGTGTGTGTGTGTGTGTGTGTGTGTGTGTGTGTGTGTGTGTGTGTGTGTGTGTGTGTGTGTGCATGTGTGTGCATGTATGTGTGTTTGCATGTGTGTGCGTTTGCATATGTGTGTGTTGTTGTTCTTACTGTCTCGGACTGGGAGGAAGTGTATCCAGTCGGAGGAGTTTTGCTGGGAGCGCAGGTGAGCAGTGACCCGCAGGTGGTAGGTCTCCTCTGGGTCTGAGAAGGCTTCCGTCAGCTCGCACCGCAGGGGGTCCTCCACACGCTCACAGCCGGGCACCAGGCGGGCCGACCCTCGCCTGGAACCATACACGGACCATAAACACAGGGAGCTCGCCAACTGTCCCACACTGACCACATCGCTGGACTGTGTGTGTGGAAGGATATACGGCCTATGAAGCTTAGCAATAACAGGGCCTGGTTAGTGCTGTGATGGGAGACCTCTGGGATCACCAGGTGCTACAGTGTGGCGGCTGCGGCTGTAAAGTGCCAAACTGTATGGCAGTGTGCCCCAGGGCAGCTGTGGCTACAGTAGTAGTTTATCACCACCGTGTCTGGAGTGAATGAATAATGACATTTGATGCATCTTTGAGGGTCCAGAAAAGTGCTTTATAAAACCAATACATTATCATTATTAATATTGTTATATTTATCATAAGCTGTAGGACTGTTTACCTGTCTGTGTGGAAGGATACGCTGCAGGACTATTTACCTGTCTGTGTGGAAGGATACGCTGCAGGACTATTTACTTGTCTGTGTGGAAGGATACGCTGCGGGACTGTTTACCTGTCTGTGTGGAAGGATACGCTGCGGGACTGTTTACCTGTCTGTGTGGAAGGATACGCTGCGGGACTATTTACCTGTCTGTGTGGAAGGATACGCTGTAGGACTGTTTACCTGTCTGTGTGGAAGGATACGCTGCAGGACTATTTACCTGTCTGTGTGGAAGGATACGCTGCGGGACTGTTTACCTGTCTGTGTGGAAGGATGCGCTGCGGGACTGTTTACCTGTCTGTGTGGAAGGATACGCTGCAGGACTATTTACCTGTCTGTGTGGAAGGATACGCTGTAGGACTGTTTACCTGTCTGTGTGGAAGGATACGCTGCAGGACTATTTACCTGTCTGTGTGGAAGGATACGCTGCAGGACTATTTACTTGTCTGTGTGGAAGGATACGCTGCGGGACTGTTTACCTGTCTGTGTGGAAGGATACGCTGCGGGACTATTTACCTGTCTGTGTGGAAGGATACGCTGTAGGACTGTTTACCTGTCTGTGTGGAAGGATACGCTGCAGGACTATTTACCTGTCTGTGTGGAAGGATACGCTGCGGGACTGTTTACCTGTCTGTGTGGAAGGATGCGCTGCGGGACTGTTTACCTGTCTGTGTGGAAGGATACGCTGTGGGACTATTTACCTGTCTGTGTGGAAGGATGCACTGTGGGACTGTTTACCTTTCTGTGTGGAAGGATACGCTGTAGGAGACGTGTGGTCCGGTCCCAGCTCCTCGGTCCCAGTGCAGCGTGTGCTTCATGTTGGAGGAGCTCAGGACGACTCTCTCTGGAGCCGGAGGAACAACTGCCAAACCAACATACAAGACTTGTGCTATACTCTGCGAGATTTTAAGCAACTTTTGTTAAAGTTAAAACTCATCATTCTATCAATGTGCAGAAGCCAGTACTTTTCCCTTGTTTTGTCTATCTGAAGGCCAAGCTACATGGCACCGTGGCAGCTGCTGATTGGAGGTCTCCATGCCTCCGCTCTGTATAATACACTTGCATTCTGTTGTTCGTGTTGTTCGTGCTGTCTCTACCATCGACAATAAAACATGTCTTCTGTCTGAATGAAAGACGCGATCCCAGACTATGTCATCTTCTTCAACTGTATAAAGAAAGACGACTGCTCTATTCTGTTCTGTAGCGGAGCAAAAGCTGGGAACCCTCTATTTTGCAATTCTTAGGCCCCATTAATCTAATATTGGCTAAATTAAATTACATTTTATAAAGCAGAAATTAGTATTGAAAGCCCCTTTTCCACCTACTCTACTCTACTCTACTGGACTAAAGTGACCCTCTTACTAAAAGGTTTTGGGTGGATCCAGGACTGAGGCTGTAGACCCAGGACTGAGGCTGTAGATCCAGGACTGAGGCTGTAGATCCAGGACTGAGGCTGTAGATCCAGGACTGAGGCTGTAAATCCAGGTCTGAGGATGTAGATCCAGGTCTGAGGCTGTAGATCCAGGACTGAGGCTGTAGATCCAGGACTGAGGCTGTAAATCCAGGTCTGAGGCTGTAGATCCAGGACTGAGGCTGTAGATCCAGGACTGAGGCTGTAGATCCAGGACTGAGGCTGTAGATCCAGGACTGAGGCTGTAGATCCAGGTCTGAAGCTGTAGATCCAGGACTGAGGCTGTAGATCCAGGACTGAGGCTGTAGATCCAGGTCTGAGGCTGTAGATCCAGGACTGAGGCTGTAGATCCAGGACTGAGGCTGTAGACCCAGGACTGAGGCCGTAGATCCAGGACTGAGGCTGTAGATCCAGGACTGAGGCTGTAGACCCAGGACTGAGGCTGTAGACCCAGGTCTGAGGCTGTAGATCCAGGACTGAGGCTGTAGATCCAGGACTGAGGCTGTAGATCCAGGACTGAGGCTGTAGATCCAGGACTGAGGCTGTAGATCCAGGACTGAAGCTGTAGATCCAGGACTGAGGCTGTAGACCCAGGACTGAGGCTGTAGACCCAGGTCTGAGGCTGTAGATCCAGGACTGAGGCTGTAGACCCAGGACTGAGGCTGTAGATCCAGGACTGAGGCTGTAGATCCGGGATCCGTCCCTCAATATGGGCCTCTCTGACATTTATTTCATTTTTTCCCACTTGATTTTTTACTGGTTCCTCTCTGGTGCAGGAGGGTCAAGACTCTCATCCGGGACTTTTATTCCCTTTTTTGGACAGTGGTCGTCCCGTTTCCTCTGGACCAACGGCTCTGTGTGTTTGTTATTAATGCTCTGACTACTTCCTGTTTGTTTGATTCTATGATCTGCTGTTGTGGTTTAGGGCCATACTCAAATTGTGATGAAAGCTTGTGGACAGAGACGGGAGCAGAGTAGAGGTGGTGACTTACGGGAGGCGGCCAGCAGGGGGCAGAGCAGCAGCAGCACAAACATGTCTGTGGGAGCCGCATCCTTCAGCATCAGCAGCTCCTCTCTGCACAAACATCATGGATCAAACATTCACCCACGTTAGCATGTTAGCCGTTAGCTTCCATGACTATCACATTCACTCCAGTGGGGGCGGGTCCCAGCTCCAAACGGTCCATGAACACGTGCACTGACATACTGCAATACCACTCCGCACCGGTGGGGGTGTACCCGGAAAAAGAATTACCCAATGCTTTTGTATGGCGTTTTTTTTACCTCTTGAAAACGTCTTTACAGGATGGTCCTAAAGTTGCTTTTGGCCCAAAGCTCCGTTCCAGATGCTGTCAATGTTGAGGGGAGTATATTTTTTGGACCAGTCTAGTTGAGTCGCTGTGGACTTCAGAATACACTAGTTAAATGAATGGGGCTGGTGCAGCTAAAGCATGCGCGAATGCGTTTTTTCACAATTTCCTGCGGGAGGGGTGGCCCGCGACCATTTTGAAAAAGCCCACAGAAGGCAAAAGTGATGTCACATTAGTTTGAACCAGTGGGGGCGGGTCCCAGCTCATAAGTGGCCAAAATGACGTGCGCTGACATGCTGCAATACCACCCCGGGCCTGTGGGGGGTGGACCCGGAATAAGAATTAGCCAATGCTAACATATAGCATCTTCTTACCTCTGGAAAACGTCTTTACAGGATGGTCCAAAAGTGGCTCTTGGCCCAAAGCTCCGTCCCACATGTGTGTCAATGCTGAGGGGGGTGTTTTGGACCAGTCTAGTTTAGTCGCTGTGAATTTTTGAAGTCACTCGTTTAAATTAATGGGGCTCTTGCAGCTGACGCATGCGCAGATGTGTTTTTTCACATTTTCCAGCCCCCGCGGCCATTTTGAATCACCCCAGCACAGCCCAATTTTTGGCCCATTAGTTAGAACGGCGGAGAGACGCGTCACTACGTCTGTTTATACTTACAGTCTATGGTTCACTCATGTTAGCATGTTAGCCGTTAGCTTCCATGACTCGATTTTGACAATAAACAAGCGTCCTATACCTTCTAAAACTGTGAAGTCAAAATCAGTCCATAAACTCTGCAAATTAAAGTACATTTTTTTAATAATACGCTTAAGATAAAGATCCTTTATGCTCCCAGAGTGAGGAAATGTCAGTGTTGCAATCACTAGTTACAGAACCATAGGAATGAGGAACACACAGCACAAGACAGACCAGAGAGAGAGAGGCCAGAAACCAGAGAGAGAGACCAGAGAGAGAGACCAGAGAGAGACCAGAGAGAGACCAGGGAGAGACCAGGGAGAGAGACTAGAGAGAGACCAGAGAGAGACCAGTGAGAAGGACCAGAGAGAGAGACCAGGGAGAGAGACTAGAGAGAGAGACCAGCGAGAGACCAGAGAGAGACTAGACAGACCAGAGAGAGAGAGAGAGAGAGCAGAGAGAGACCAGAGAGAGACCAGAGAGAGACCAGGGAGAGACCAGGGAGAGAGACTAGAGAGAGACCAGAGAGAGACCAGTGAGAAGGACCAGAGAGAGAGACCAGGGAGAGAGACTAGAGAGAGAGACCAGCGAGAGACCAGAGAGAGACTAGACAGACCAGAGAGAGAGAGAGAGAGAGCAGAGAGAGACCAGAGAGAGACCAGAGAGAGGCCAGAGAGAGACCAGAGAGAGACCAGAGAGAGGCCAGAGAGAGACCAGAGAGAGACCAGAGAGAGACCAGAGAGAGACCAGAGAGAGACCAGAGAAAGACCAGAGAGAGACTAGAGAGAGAGACCAGAGAGAGAGAGAGAGAGCAGAGAGAGACCAGAGAGAGGCCAGAGAGAGACCAGAGAGAGGCCAGAGAGAGACCAGAGAGAGACCAGAGAGAGGCCAGAGAGCGAGAGACTAGAGAGAGACCAGAGAGAGAGACTAGAGAGAGAGAGAGATCAGAGAGAGAGAGATTAGAGAGAGACCAGAGTCAGAAACCAGAAAATGTTACCCAATTTAAGATATATTTAGTAAAATTTCAGTAATTTTGACTTTGGCCTTTTACAACAATACACTGTTACCTATGTTTTATTTAGAAAGTAGAAACAGGATGATGAAATAACCCGGATGCAACCGAATCAAAACATGTGCACAAGTGATCGCTTCGCCCTCATCCGCCCCCGCCGGACTCTCCCTCAGCTCAGACACACACACACACACACACACACACACACACACACACACACACACACACACACACACACACACACACACACACACACACACACGACCTCCAACTGTAACACATATATCAAACACACGCTGCAGAATGTCACATATTTAGTCATTGTGGAAAAAAAGCAGAAACAGCGCAAAACTTCACCGCCCACTGAGCGGAAACTAGAGCCGAGACTTGAGATCCGAGAGCCGACCCCCCGCTGCGGTGGACTGCGCGTCCTCTGTGCGTCGCGTATATGTGTGTGTGCGTGTGCGTGTGTGCGTGTTTACCTGGAAGGCAGTCCCAGCGCAGACCACAGACCAGACGCAGAGATGAGACCTGGTCCAGACCCTCAGACCAGACCCATGCGTTCTCCAAATCAAGAGCCAGGACTGAGGAACTCTAGAGGGATCCCCACTGTGCTCACATCCTGTTCAGGGTCAGGGTCATGGCCAGAGACTGTAACTTTATCTTATTTAAATCAACTAATGTTTTTCTTTTCGACTGTCTTTGTGTTCAAGAAGAGTTTATTTGAAAAAAAAATCTTGTTACTCGAGCAAAAATCTACAACATGTTTTGTTAATGGGAGTAAACTTGGAAGGATTGGGTGGAGAAGGGCTGAAACTTTATTTGTATATGGGAAAGACCAAAGTGAGAGACCAGAACCAGAGAGAGAGAGACCAGAACCAGAGAGAGAGAGAAGAACCAGAGAGAGAGACCAGAACCAGAGAGAGAGAGACCAGAACCAGAGAGAGAGAGACCAGAACCAGAGAGAGAGAGACCAGAACCAGAGAGAGAGAACCAGAGAAAGAGAGACTAACCAGAGAGAGAGACCAGAACCAGAGAGAGACACCAGATACCAGTGAGAGACTACAGAACCAGAGACAGAAAGAGAGAGACCAGACACCAGAGAGACCAGATAATGAAAAAAGGTAAGTGCCTCTTAAACTTGACGTATAATTTATTAATTTAATATTTATTTACATTTATTTTTTTCAATGTGTTCTTTAAAGAGAAACATACATTGCATTATTTCTCAGTGATACACATCCGTCATGTTGTAGAAAGTAGAATATATAGGATAATAAATATAAAGTTACAAACAAAATGCTTTCCGCCTGTAACTCCCAATGCTGCCACAAGAGGGAGGAGTAAAAATGTCCTGTGGCCTTCACTTTTGTATCATCATAATGTTTACCATGAGACAGACGGGTCCCAGGCTGTTGTGCAAAAAAAGGGGATTAAAATGATTGTTGACGTGTGAAAACTCTCTCTGGTTCTTTTAACTTGGATAAAGCACAGGGTCGTAAACTTTATTGCGAGCTCATGAGATTATAGCTGAGGTGTGTGTGTGTCAGTGTGCGGCTCGACTCTACCTAGTTGTGTTTCCATTACACTTTCATATCTGGTGCTGTATCCTATAGCAACCTACCCACAACAAGCCAGTTTTGGGGAAAATTCCTGGGTAACCATGGCTTCCAGCAGCACTCTGACTAATCACTGTCAGTTAGTACACTTTAGTACCAGCTTGGCCTGGATAGAACCAGGACCAAGAGGGACTAAAGAAGGACCTGGTGCTGGTTATAGACGGGCAGTGGAAACATTCCCAAACAGGGTAGAGTAGAGTAGAATAGAGTAGATCAGAGCTGTCTAGGGTAGAGTAGAGTAGAGAAGAGCAGAGCTGTCTAGGGTAGAGTAGAGTAGAGCAGAGCAGAGCAGGGCAGGGCAGGGTAGAGTAGAGTAGAGTAGAGTAGAGTAGCATAGAGTAGAGTAGAGCAGGGCAGGGTAGAGTAGAGTAGAGTAGAGTAGAGTAGAGTAGAGTAGCATAGAGTAGAGTAGAGCAGGGCAGGGTAGAGTAGAGTAGAGTAGAGTAGAGCAGAGCTGTCTAGGGTAGAGTAGCATAGAGTAGAGTAGAGCAGGGCAGGGCAGGGTAGAGTAGAGTAGAGTAGAGTAGCATAGAGTAGAGTAGAGCAGGGCAGGGTAGAGTAGAGTAGAGTAGAGTAGAGTAGAGTAGCATAGAGTAGAGTAGAGTAGAGTAGAGTAGAGTAGAGTAGAGCAGAGCTGTCTAGGGTAGAGTAGCATAGAGTAGAGTAGAGTAGAGCAGGGCAGGGTAGAGTAGAGTAGAGTAGAGTTGTCTGTGGTAGAGTAGACTAGTGAAGAGTAAAGTAGAGTAGAGCTGTCTAGAGTAGAGTAGAGTAGAGTTGGGCAGAGTATAGTAGTGAAAACGGGGCCGATGCTGAAGCATTATTAACCAACAAATCTAAATAATTTCCAGTTCTAGTAACACAAGATGGCCGCCTCTCATCAGAATCCATGATCGTTCTAGTGTTTACAACTAGCGCCTCGTGCCTACTTCAGGGTCACCGCGGAAACAGGAAAAATATCCGTGCACAGAAAAACTAAAATACATATTCATAAATAGATCTGAACCAGACTGTAACGCGTATAAACATTGTTTGGGTGTTTATTTAGTGTAATGTATGAAGAAAAAAATAATAATCAGTGGAATGTAGAGAAGTGCGTAGTCCCGTTTAAGGCAACAGCTAACGGGAAAGCACGTGATCTACTGTAACCGCGCATCATTACAACGCGTTCAACTTGAATTCATTTAGAGAATTCCTTATTATTTTACAAAATACATATTTAGTGTTAAAGAAAATGAACCCACTAGACATACAAATATTTTTGGGAAAAATATCTGTGCTATTTTTATTTATTTTTTGTCAAAGGGGATGGGTAAGAGAAAAAAGTGTTTTTTGAAGCAGCATTCACTGAACCAATTAGAGAGTGCAGCATATTTGCTTCTTTAGGTTCTTGGGTACCTACATAAGTTAATGCTTTGAACCAAAAAGTCATCATTCTTTTTCCATAACCTTTGAACTTCATGTTGTATATTTGTAACCGAGGGTGCAGCGGATAAACAACAGTAAACATTCAAACTAGAGCCTCAGCTTTGTTCTATCACCAGGTTTCACATGTGTGTGTTTGCAAGGACTATGACACATTCTTAGATCAGCTTGATCGAGACCAGAGAGAGACCAGGGAGAGACCAGAGAGAGACCAGGGGGAGACCAGAGAGAGACCAGAGAGAGATCAAAGAGAGACCAGAGAGAGACCAGGGAGAGACCAGAGAGAGACCAGGGAGAGACCAGGGAGAGACCAGAGAGAGACCAGAGAGAGATCAAAGAGAGACCAGAGAGAGACCAGGGAGAGACCAGAGAGAGACCAGGGAGAGACCAGAGAGAGACCAGAGAGAGATCAGAGAGAGACCAGAGAGAGACCAGAGAGAGATCAAAGAGAGACCAGAGAGAGACCAGAGAGAGATCAAAGACAGACCAGAGAGAGACCAGGGAGAGACCAGAGAGACCAGAGAGAGACCAGAGAGAGATCAAAGATAGACCAGAGAGAGACCAGGGAGAGACCAGGGAGAGACCAGGGAGAGACCAGAAAGAGACCAGAGAGAGATCAAAGATAGACCAGAGAGAGACCAGGGAGAGACCAGGGAGAGACCAGGGAGAGACCAGAAAGAGACCAGCGATCAGGGAGAGACCAGAGAGAGACCAGAGAGAGACCAGAGAGAGACCAGAGATCAGGGAGAGATCAGGGAAAGATCAGGGAGAGACCAGAGAGAGACCAGAGAGAGACCAGGGTGAGACCAGAGAGAGACCAGAGAGAGATCAGGGAGAGACCAGAGAGAGACCAGAGAGAGATCAGGGAGAGACCAGAGAGAGACAAGAGAGAGACCAGAGAGATACCAGGGTGAGACCAGAGAGAGACCAGAGAGAGACCAGAGAGAGATCAGAGAGAGACCAGAGAGAGACCAGGGTGAGACCAGAGAGACCAGAGAGAGACCAGGGTGAGACCAGAGAGAGACCAGAGAGAGATCCGAGAGGTTTTATCTCTAGTTTCCATGTGTGTGTGGCCAATGTTGCATGTTTTGAATTTAGATAAGCTTTTTCTGACATTATTTTTGTTCACACAGAAACGATTTTCTTTATACATATTACCGATGAGAGAGAGAGAGAGAGAGAGAGTTAATATGAATTTTAGTAAAGGTAAAAAACCAAATAACCCGACAAATTACTTTTTATAAAACTGGTGGAAAACTTTTTGAGTTCTGTCCACACACAAACACACTTACCATGGGTACACACACAAACACACACACACATACAAATAGTTAGAAGGCACACACACAGAGATTTATAGATTCAACATATAAAAATGTAAATATTTAAAATGTCCGGTCTCTGGTGTAGACCTGGTTGTGAGATCTAGCAAATGTAAAAACCCTGTAAATTTATTGAAATAAAACGAGGGACTTTTTGGGGAATTTCTCAGAATTTCACTGATTTGTTGTAATAGTGGTAAAAAGAACCAGATGTGATTTTATAACTCCGCACAAAAACTACATCTGCTCTGAGATGATAATCACACTGTACCATGAACCAGATACTCCGTAAAAAGGTTCAAGTAAAAACAACTTGAAGTGAACTTCTCTGACGCAGGTTTGTCCTTCATCACAAATAACAATAATAAAGATGGCCGCTTTGTTTATTTTTGCATTTGTCTTTTGGCAAAAGCAGATTGACCAATCAGAGAGCAGCATGACATCATCGTTTGTTAAGTTTGTTTGTGATTTTAATCCACTGCGAGGACATGAGTGTGTGTGTATCGGTGTGTATGTGTGTGTGTCTGTGTGGGTATGTGTGTGTCTGTCTGTGTGTCTGTGTCTCTCTATGTGTGTGTATGTTTGTGTGTATCTGTGTGTCTGTAAGTGTATCTGTGTGTGTCTGTCTGTATGGGTATGTGTGTGTCTGTCTGTGTGTGTGTGGGTAACTGTGCCTGTGTGTCTCTATGTGTGTGTATGTTTGTGTGTATCTGTAAGTGTATCTGTGTGTGTCTGTCTGTATCTGTGTGTCTGTGTATATATGTGTCTGTCTGTGTATGTGTGTCTGTGTATGTGTGCGTGTGTGTCTGTCTGTATCTGTGAGTGTGTGTCTAAGTGTATCTGTGTGTACTTGTATGTGGGTGTGTGCGCACGCATGTGTGTGTGTGTGTATCTGTGTGTATCTTTGTGTGTCTCAAACTAGAGAGAGACCAGAAAGATATTCAGAGAGATTCGTATTCTCTGAGTTCGAATCCCAGCTGGAACAGGGCCTTTCTGAGTGGAGTTTGCATGTTCTCCCTGTGTCTGCGTAGGTTTCCTCCAGGTGCTCCGCTTTCCACTAAAACCAAGTATAAAAACTCATGTGTAATGTGACGTACGTGCGGCGTTCGCTTCAGTAATGAATCTCAGAGAAACACAAAATAAATACTTTTATCCTTTGATTACAAAAAAATCCTTATTACAACTGCGTTCATATTTGCCGATCCATGTAATTGTTCCACTCGGCCTGTGGGGGCGCTGTGTCTGAGTCCAAGTCCGAGTCTGAGTCTGAGTCTGGCTGAGGTAGAAGAGTTTGGCCGGATGTGCAGAAAGATGGCGGCTCGTCATCCAGAGCAGAGACGGTCACAGAGAACAGGTCCACACAGTCCTGCTCCAGCTCTGAGCCCCAGTCTACCAGGTCTACAGGGTCCACTGAGTCCACAGGGTCCACAGGGTCCACAGGGTCCACAGGATCCGCCCAAACGCTGGCTTGTGGGACCTCCTCCTCTTCTTCCTCCTCTTCCTCCTCCTCCTGGTCCGTGCCGGCAGTGGGACTCCCAGACTGATAGAGCACAGACCGGTTGCAGTTCCTCATCTGGCCCCACGTCAAACTGGAATCTGAAGGAAGTGAAAAAATACGTTTGTAAAGATTTAGACACAAAAAAACCAATGTATTTGAAACGTGTGTATCTATGTGTGTGTGTATGTATCTGTGTGTGTCTCTGTGTGTGTGTATGTATCTGTGTGTGTCTCTCTGTGTGTATGTATCTGTGTGTGTGTATGTATCTGTGTGTGTGTATGTATCTGTGTGTGTCTCTCTGTGTGTGTATGTATCTGTGTGTGTGTCTCTGTGTGTGTGTATGTATCTGTGTGTGTGTATGTATCTGTGTGCGTGTGCGCGTGTCTCTGTGTATGTATCTGTGTCTCTGTGTGTGTATCTATGTTTGTGTGTATGTATCTGTGTGTGTGTCTCTGTGTGTGTATTATAACTATTGGTCTTGAGTTGCTCTTTACAATCGTGTTCATGGTTTTACACTGGTCCAGACCAGATCCCAACCAATCAGAAGAAGAGGAAATATACTAGAGTAATGCTAGCTTTTTGGGGGGAAAAATGCTAATAAAGCATTCAGAGTTTCACTCTGAACCAGAGCAGAGAAGAAGAAGAAGAAGCAGAGTGTGTCTCATTTTATCATTTTATCACAGATTCCACTTTTTCGGACTAGCAAGATGGCGCCGTGTCAGGGCGCCGCAGTGAACGCTCTGGTGCGCACAATCTGTGTTTTGTTGTTTTTCGTCTGGGATTCACTTGCCACAGTTAAATATGATTGGCAAACACTTCTGTACATTCGGGACCACGAGTGTGACGGGTCACTCGTTTTACCTGAACTGAGGTGCACAAACTTCTTTGAGTGTCCCACTCAAGAGGCTGGTGGAGCACGGCAGGCGGGCCGCGGCGGTGGCCGCCAACAGAGCGAGGGGACTGGGCGTCTCCGCCGTTCTCTCCGCGGTGTGGAGCTGGGCACCTCGAGTCGGCGAAGGAGGCGCAGACACCGGGGAAGGCGAGGCGGTCTGCTCGTTCGTAGCCGCTCCTCCAGGACCCCTTTGCCCTCCATCTACCTGGCCAACGTCCAGTCTCTGCCCAACAAGACGGACGAGCTCCTGTGTCGGGTCCAGAGCCAGCACGAGGCCCGGGACTGCGCTGTGTTCTGCCTCAGCGAGACGTGGCTCCACTCGAACGTCCCGGACTCTGCTGTTCAGCCCCCGGGATTCACCGCTCACCGCGCGGACAGAGTGAAGGAGACCACGGGCAAGGCCAGAGGCGGAGGTGCGTGAGTTTTCAGTGATATTTTTATGTGCTGTTTACATTCACCCACGTGCGGATTACAAAGTAGCCCTACAGGATCTGACCTCCTTTTGGAAAGTCTGACCACTCCTCTGTTCTCCTTCTTCCTTCGTATACTCAGAGGAGCAGGGAACATAAACCAACCTCTCGCACTGTGCAGTGTTGGTCTGAGGAGGCGAGCATGAAGCTACAAGGTTGTTTTGATGCTACGGACTGGTCTGTGTTTCAATCAGAGGACGTCAATGAATTCTGTGACGCTGTGTCTGGATACATACGCTTCTGTATTGACTGTTGTGTCCCACAGAAGGTCATTAAAGAACATTTTAGTCAAAACCCTTGGATGAACGCGGAAGTGAAACTGAAACTTCATGAGCGTGCGTTGGCGTTTCAATCAAATGATACAGTTGCTTATAAGCTATCCTGTTACTCATTGAAACGTTCTATTAAATCTGCAAAGCGCAGTTACGGGAACAGGTTAAAGAGTTATTTTGAGGAAGATGACCCTCGGCGCATGTGGACGGTATTAAAGCCATCACATCGTGGAAACCTAGCGTTGGGAAAATTGCATCTGTCGGCCAAGCTCTGCCAAACGAGCTGAACACGTTCTACTGTCGCTTTGAATCCGCTGATGCCTGTCCTACTGTATTCCCTGAGTGTTTCAATCAAGGTACCTTCACCGTGACTCAGGAGGAAGTCAGGCGTGTCATGTCCAGGACCACAGTCCGGAAAGCCCCAGGCCCGGACGGCATCCCTCCTCGTGTCCTGAAACTGTGCTCTGAGCAACTTGCCCCTGTGCTAACAGACATTTTCAACCTGTCGCTAAGGAACTGTACTGTGCCGAACTGCTTTAAAGAGTCCACCATCATTCCAGTTCCTAAGAAAACTCCTGTGACATGCCTGAATGACTATCGTCCTGTGGCCCTCACGTCTGTTCTTATGAAGACTTTTGAGCGGCTTGTGCTGGACTTCATTAAGAGCCAGATCCCTGTGAGTGTTGACCCGCTCCAGTTTGCTACAGACAGAACAGGAGTGTGGAGGATGCCATCTCCTTTGCTCTGAACTCTGTCTACAGTCACTTGGACACTAGTAAATCTGTTGCAAGAATGCTTTTCATCGATTATAGCTCTGCTTTTAACTGCCTTGTCCCAGGTAAACTGATGGAAAAGCTCATGTCTCTCGGTTTAAGTGTTGCCATGTGTAAATGGATTTTTAGCTTTTTAACTGACAGATCTCAGAGAGTGAAAATCAACGACTGTTTTTCTGATGTTGTGTCTGTGAGCACTGGTTCTCCTCAGGGATGTATTTTGAGTCCTTTGCTTTTTACTTTGTACACTCACGATTGTGTGTCCTCCTCTGACTCAAACTTGATCATCAAATATGCTGATGACACCACCATCATCGGTCTCATCAGTGACACTGATGAATCCTCTTATAGAGCAGAGATACAAAATGTGGTTCAGTGGAGTCAAACTAACAACCTCCAGTTGAACGCATCCAAAACATGTGAACTGGTCTACGACTTCAGTCGCAATAGTTCTCATTTGCCTGTCGTAATCGACAACTCCCAGGTGCAGATCGTAGAGGAGTGCAAGTTTCTGGGTTTAACTCTGTCTAACCTGAAATGGGTTAAAAACACTGACCGAGTCGTTAAGAAAGCTCGTCAGCGTCTCTACTTTCTGCTTAAACTTAGAGAATTTACCACTAACTCTAAGATTCTGCTTAACTTTTATCGCTGCACCATTGAGAGTTTACTTGTTGGTTCTGTGTCTGTGTGGTTTGGAAACATCACAGATAAAGAAAAGAGAGCTTTAAACAAGGTGCTCCGCTCTGCAAAGAGGACCGTGGGCTGTGAGCTTCCTGTTCTGGAGGTTCTTTATACATCCAGACTTTTAAACAAAGCTCTTAGGATTGTCAATGACTCTTCTGGCCACCCTGGGAAAGCCATGTTCCAGCTTCTTCCCTCTGGCAGAAGATATTGCTCTCTGAGATGCAGGACATCTCGTTACGCTAACAGTTTTTATCCACAAGCTGTTATCAGTGTGAACAGAGCACTTTAATGATTTGCACTTGTTTTGAAACTGTTTTAGTCGATCGATTTCACAGTGACATTTGTTTACTGTTTTATTTGTGTCTTTTAATGTTGTTTTATGTCTGTATTTGTCTGTGCACACTGGGGACTTTTTGCTAATGTATTCCAATGTGGTTTTTTTTTACTGCAAATGGCAAATAAACGGAATCTGAATCTGAATCTATTATCTTAAACAATAGAATAGAATAGAATAGACAATCTTTTTGAGGTGACAAATAAACACATTTGATAAAGTGAAAAATGGTGTGTACCAGCGGACAGGTCGGCTCCTCGGTCCATGTACAGGTCCTGCTCCTGGTCCTCCTTCTCTTCCTCCTCTTCCTCCTCCTCCTCTAGCTCGTCCTGGCGGTGGGACCAGGACTGGTGCAGACGGGACTCAGGCTGAGGGAACAGACACACGGGGGACACGAGCTCTCTGGGGTCCGGATCCCTCATCACAGAAGAGTGATGCTTCAAAACCATCTGTCCACACAAGGAAATGTCATTATGAGACCAGAGAGAGACCAGAGAGAGACCAGAGAGAGACCAGAGAGAGACCAGAGAGAGACCAGGGAGAGACCAGAGAGAGACAAGAGAGAGGCCAGAGAGAGGCCAGAGAGCGACCAGAGAGAGACCAGAGAGAGACCAGAGAGAGACCAGAGAGAGACCAGAGAGAGACCAGAGAGAGGCCAGGGAGAGACCAGAGAGAGGCCAGAGATTGAGACCAGTGAGAGACCAGAGAGAGAGAGACCAGAGAGAGACCAGAGAGAGACCAGAGAGAGACCAGAGAGAGACCAGGGAGAGACCAGGGAGAGACTAGAGAGAGACCAGGGAGAGACCAGAGAGAGACCAGAGAGAGACCAGAGAGAGACCAGGGAGAGACCAGAGAGAGACCAGAGAGAGACCAGAGAGAGACCAGGGAGAGACCAGAGAGAGACCAGGGAGAGACCAGAGAGAGACCAGAGAGAGACCAGAGAGAGGCCAGAGAGAGACCAGAGAGAGACCAGAGAGAGGCCGAGAGAGCCAGACAGAGAGAGACCAGGGAGAGACCAGAGAGAGACCAGAGAGAGGCCAGAGAGAGACCAGAGAGAGACCAGAGAGAGGCCAGAGAGAGACCAGGGAGAGACCAGGAAGAGACCAGAGAGAGACCAGAGATTGAGACCAGTGAGAGACCAGGGAGAGACCAGAGAGAGACCAGAGAGAGACCAGAGAGAGACCAGAGAGAGACCAGAGAGAGACCAGGGAGAGACCAGAGAGAGACCAGAGAGAGACCAGGGAGAGACCAGAGAGAGACCAGAGAGAGACCAGAGAGAGACCAGAGAGAGACCAGGGAGAGACCAGAGAGAGGCCAGAGATTGAGACCAGTGAGAGACCAGAGAAAGAGACCAGCGAGAGACCAGAGAGAGACCAGAGAGAGACCAGAGAGAGACCAGAGAGAGACCAGAGAGAGACCAGAGAGAGACCAGAGAGAGACCAGGGAGAGACCAGAGAGAGACCAGAGAGAGATCAGGGAGAGACCAGAGAGAGACCAGAGAGAGACCAGGGAGAGACCAGAGAGAGACCAGAGAGAGGCCATAGAGAGACCAGGGAGAGACCAGAGAGAGACAAGAGAGAGGCCAGAGAGAGACCAGAGAGCGACCAGAGAGAGACCAGAGAGAGACCAGGGAGAGACCAGAGAGAGGCCAGAGATTGAGACCAGTGAGAGACCAGAGAAAGAGACCAGAGAGAGACCAGAGAGAGACCAGAGAGAGACCAGAGAGAGACCAGAGAGAGACCAGGGAGAGACCAGGGAGAGACCAGAGAGAGACCAGGGAGAGACCAGGGAGAGACCAGAGAGAGACCAGAGAGAGACCAGGGAGAGACCAGAGAGAGACCAGAGAGAGACCAGAGAGAGACCAGGGAGAGACCAGAGAGAGACCAGGGAGAGACCAGAGAGAGACCAGAGAGAGACCAGAGAGAGGCCAGAGAGAGACCAGAGAGAGACCAGAGAGAGGCCAGAGAGAGACCAGAGAGAGGCCAGAGAGAGACCAGAGAGAGACCAGAGAGAGACCAGGGAGAGACCAGAGAGAGACCAGAGAGAGACCAGAGAGACCAGGGAGAGACCAGAGAGAGGCCAGAGAGAGGCCAGAGAGAGACCAGAGAGAGGCCAGAGAGAGACCAGAGAGAGGCCAGAGATTGAGACCAGTGAGAGACCAGAGAAAGAGACCAGAGAGAAAGACCAGAGAGAACAGGGAGACCAGAGAGAGACCAGAGAGTGTTACGAGGCGTGTCTGTGATGTGGAGAGACGTACCATGAGTGGAAGGGGCAGGGCTTGTTTGAGTTTGCAGATGATTCCAATGTAACTCAGGCCCCAGAGAACCAGGGACAGAACCATGAGGCAGCAGACCAGCACCACGGCCCCCGAGACCACGCCCTTAAACACTGAACACAACACCACAAGTGATGTCACACGCCATGACACCCACACACACACACACCTGTGCGCTCTCTCACACACACACTCACATGCACAGTGGTTCTAAACTCACCTGAGGGGGCGGGGTTTGTTGACACACATTTCCATGGCGACGGCTTGAAGTGCATCTCCAGGTATTGAGGCTGCACCTTCACACAGTACTTTTCTCCTGGGACCAGGTTGGATACAAGCAACGTCTGCTGAATAATCTTCATGAAGACCTGGAAGACACACAACGGTCTGGTACCACACTATCTGACATCATTACACACTTCAGCTGTAGTCTGTTCATTGCTATTCACCTACTATCCCATCGTCTGTCTCATGGTGTGATGATGGGACCCCTGAACCCAGCCCCCTCCACCTGCACCTGTTTTGCGTGGCCTTGGTCCTCGTTCTACAGCCTGAGTCCTGGATCTACAGCCTGAGTCCTGGATCTACAGCCTGAAGAAAAGTCCCATAGAACTCAATGTAGATTAAATCGGCTCGACCTCAGCTGACAGAGAACCTGATAGAGAACCTACAGCTTTCATAAAGGTCGGATTTTGTGGGATTTTAGTGTCCCTTGTCATCCTGAACTTTTTTTCTTCTTAAATCCTTCGGTTTTCTTTAAATCCACACTTTACAGCCACAAACCCTGCTTGTTTGTCTCCCGCTCTACCGCTTCTCTGATCAGCAGCTCTGATTGGTCGGAGCGCAGCCGAGCCCCTCTGTCCACGTGCGTGAGAGCCACGCACGCGTATTTGGTGCAAAGCATCATGGGAGCTCGTCCACTGCACAGAACCGGGAGGACCAGACGATGCCCAAATATAGGCGAGTTCTGCTAATCTCCCGATCTCCATGAAGTCCCATGAACTACTGAGCACAAGCCATTCATTTGAACAGGACGCCATCTTGGATCACCGGGGCTTGCTTTTCTCCCACTGGGTTTTTAGAGTTGTTCCTCTGATGCAGGAGGGTCTAAGGACAGTGGTGGATCCAGGAGACTCCATGTTCAACCACATTTACGGACATTTATGGACCAATGGTTGAGTCTGAATGTTCTATTATAATTTTTTTATTGTGAAAATATAGACACACAATGCAAGTGCAGACGTACAAACAAATACAGATACAATAAGACAGACAAGATAGAGTGTGTGTGTGTGTGTGTGTGTGTGTGTGTGTGTGTGCGCGTTGTTTCATTTGACGGCTCTATGTGTTTGATTCTATGATCTGTGTGAGCAAATCGACAGCAGAAATAACGACTGCTGTGATTTAAAGCTACACAAAAATACAATGTGTGATCCTCACCACGTCCTGGTCCTTCCTCTGCAGAGACACGTTGAAACTAAAGTTGAAGTGGTCTCGGAGGTTCTTGATCCCGGAGGATTCATCGACCTCAGGCAGAGAGATGTTCATGTGGATGCACCTGTCGCCGCCCGACAGCGTCACATGTGGAGCGGTGATGATTGCTGACAATCACAATCACAATCTTTTATAGTCTTTGTCCGTACCAGGAAGTCACAAACTAGGAATTTGTTTTGGCTCACGGTGCAAACAAGTGATAAGAGTAGAAAGATAAGACATAAGACATGAAACAATGACACTCAAAACAGCACAGATATCAATGCTTTTTTTTGCAGTTTTTCATATATGTAAAAAAAATACTTTAAATCCCTGCTTAAGACGCACCTTTTTCTCTTTGGCTTTAAATACCAGGTAGAAAGAGACAAGTTTTCGGGTTTTTTAAATTTAATTTCTTAATTTTGTATGTGTATATATTTTATGTGTTTTGATTTTGTATCAATTTATTTTTCTCGCTGTGTGTTCAGCACTTTGGTAAGCCTAGGCTGTTTTAAATGTGCTCTACAAATAAAGATTTTATTGTTTGATTGATTGAATTTTGAAGGTAAGTGACAACAACACAACATTTCATAGCATTTCTAAATATATGTAGCTAAATTATGTAACTATACTAAAGAATAGGTGTTATCTGAGCAGAAATACTGTGTTTGCATTTTCAGCAACTACTCCAACCATAACATGGTTAGACTCTAAACGAGGACTATTCTGTCAACTAAGAACCTCTCTACTACATGCCAATAACACCAACGCACAACCAGGAAACATCTACACTTGCATAACTGCCCCTCAAGATTGTTAACGTTCGCATTATTGGAGAAGTTAGCATAGATGCGAACAACAAACCATCCAAGTCTGCCTTATTTTGCCAGGTGTGCTACTTTCCATAAGGATACATAAGCCAAAATAATATCGGTGAGACATCTCAATAACAAGCGGCTAACATAGTGATAATGTAATGTTCATGCTAACTATTCATATAAAGGCTGAGCAATAATGTGTGTGTGTGTGTGTGTGTGTGTCTGCTCTTGAGCCTGTAAAGCTATTGTTCAGATTAGCAGATTAGAAACAAGGCTGAGTCAGGATACAGTCAATATCCATCCATCCATCCATTTTCTTCCGCTTTATCCGTTGCCGGGTCGCGGGGGCAGCAGTCTAAGCAGAGACGCCCAGACTTCCCTATGACCTATCCACACACACTTCCTCCAGCTCGTCCGGGGGGACCCCAAGGCGTTCCCAGGCCAGCTGAGAGACATAGTCCCTCCAGCGTGTCCTGGGTCTTCCGCGGGGCCTCCTCAGTCAATATATAGTTATAATAATAAGTATGTGATTTAAATTTAATGCATTTGTGTATAGAAATAAGTGACAGCAGCAGTCGTTTCAAAGGACTTAACAAAGTTGTCGATTCCTCAATAACAGATCAAAGAATCAAACCGTCCAAACACAGGAAATGCATTAATAACAAACACACAGGGGCCATTGAGGGAGCGGGACGGCCACGGTCCATAAATGGTCATAAATGTCCTGGATCGTCACTGTCCTTGGACCCTCCTGCATCAGAGAGGAAACACTCAAAATAAGAAGTGGGCGAAAAATGTGAGAAAGGCCCATAATCAGGCTGTGGATTCAGGACTGTCCCGGAATGTACTTCTGGGTTTTTCACGATCACATTAAAACGGTATTTTTATCATGAAAACGTTAACAGATACTTCTGAAAACCTCTGTTCACGTGTATTAAGAATGTATATGTATAATGTATTCTCCCATTAACATTGTAATGTGTTGATTGATTGGTATCTGCGTTTATTGAGCATGGCTCGCTCCAGAGTGCCCGGAACTACTTGCGGAGTAATCTGCACATCTGAATTACAAGCAGAGAGTGCGTTGCCAAAGGGCAGCGGTCATTATTGTTTTGAGAGGTCCGTTATCAAGAAATACAGGCCGGTAATACGTTTTGAAATGACATTCAAATCAATGGAGTGTTCTCCTGCTGCTGTGAGGAGCTGTGTAATAAAATGTAGTAAAAGTACATAAGTATATGGTAGGAAATTGTAACTTTTGAACCCCTTTTCTGCACGTTTACAGACAAATGAATGAAACAAAGTCTTGATACAATCACAGATTTATTAAAAACAAAAGTAAAGTGCAAAACCAACAGTTTACAAAGTCCAAAGTCAAACAAATATACACACAACAACTTAAGTATAAGCACAAAACAGAATGGTAAAACGTAAATACTGCAGATAATACGAGATAAAGCACAGTAGCACAGGAAGGACGTTAGCTTAGCTGCTATCGATAGCTAAATGTTGCTAAATGTAGCTAGCTCACTGTGTACAACCAGTGGGGGAGGGTCCCAGCTCAAAAGTGGCCAAAATGACGTGCGCTGACATGCTGCAATACCACCCCGGGCCTGTGGGGGTGGACCCGGAAGAAGAATTAGCCAATGCTAACATATAGCGTTGGCAGACCTCTCAAAAACGTCTTTACAGGATGGACCAAAAGTTGGCTCTTGGCCCAAAGCTCCGTTCCACATGTGTGTCAATGCTGAGGGGGGTGGATTTTTTTGGTCCACTCTAGTTTACTCACGGTGAATTTTTTAAGTCTGTCGTTCAAATGAATGGAGTTGTGCCGGCTGACGCATGCGCAGATGCGTTTTTTTCACATTTTTCGTGTGGGCGGGACCACTCGCGGCCATCTTCGATTGCTCCATGAAAGCACTTTTCATGGCCAACTCCTATGAACGGCGGAGATAGGCGTGACTCTGTCCGTTAATATATACAGTCTATGTGTACAACAGACAATCAAACTTTTACAAGAGTAAATACATTTCAGTGAGAGCTTTGAGCCAACGGGATACGTAGCTAACCAGTTATTTCCAGGATTACCACAGACTAGTCAAAAATAAGATAAGAATTCCTTTATTCGTCCCACAGTGGGGAAATGTCGATGTTGCAGCGCACAGACAGGACAGTAGTAAGAGCACACAGGGAGCACACACAATATATACAAATAAGTAGTAGCTATGTTTCTTAGCTAAGATAACTAGCTGTAGATGCTGAAAATGCTTCAATACCAGTCAAAAAATATTCAGAGCGATCTCCCTGAAAACCTTGTGAAACCTCCTGTGTTGAGCCTCGAGCTGCCTTTGAATTATTTCTTCGGCCTAAAGAGAGTAACATGTGGACCTCATCCACCGACCAGGGCCTTTTGGGGATTTCTGTGCGATTCCATTTCTCTGGAGTGAGGAGGACGTGTTGTAGCCGAAGCAGAGCAGCCGGTTTTAAAGATGGAGGTTGAGTTGTTTTTACCAAAGGGTCAGACGTCGCTTCCAGTGACGACACTCGTTGACCAATCAGTGTAAGGCAGTGGGCCGACGTCATGTCACGGCGCAGATGGAACCACAGTCGAGGTGGTACGAAAAAAATATGCAAACTCTGATACCAACACTAGTAGAAATGCAAAATAACCGTGCCGTGCCGTGCCGTTACTGTGGAAACATGTGGATATTTTCTGTTATGTCTGTATGTATTTTGTTATAGTTCAGTTAAATAGTTATAGTTATAGTTAAATGTCCTCTTTTATATTTGGGTTTGGGCCTAGTCTGTACAGCAACGATTACGATAACATGGACTCATCTGTGAAATCCAATTCAATTTATTTTTACACTGTCCTGAGTTACAACCAGTGGGGGATGACAATTAACAAACTGAAACTTAACAGAAATAAAAGTGAAATGGGGGAGCGTGGGAACGAGAGATCCGCTCTGACCATGAGGAACTACCTGGAGTGAAGATTTGACAAAGTGTTTCAGAGGACTTGTTGCACACTGTTCTCCTCGACGTGGAGGTGATACTCAATTCCAAAGCGCTTGGTTATGTGTCCTCTGACATTGACCCCGTCACTCCAAACATGCTGCTCATGGGGCGGCGTGACGCCTCTCTGCCACAAGCTGTGTACGGCGCGAGAGAACAGGTGATCGCCGACTGATGCTGAATTCATTGAAGAGATGGTTTTAAGTTTTCATATACTGTAAATCTGATGTTATTTGTTATAAACCAGCTGCAGGTGAAGACATAAAGTACCGGTTAAAATCATTTAGCTTCATATTTACTCTGATACTTATGGAAGCCCATTTCCGCCATGTACCAAAAAAAAAGCCTGCAGAAAGTCATGATTGAGTTTAAAACTAAAAATTATGAGTTTAAAAGTCAAAATTATTATTATTATTTAAAATTTCGAGTTTTAAACTGTGCATGTGCAGTTGCTGCCGCGTATGTGTTGTTGTCTGGAACGGTCTCTGGACATCCTTTACCTGCAGGTTATGTGAAGATATTGCCTACAGTGACCACTGCATCCATGAAGGAGCAGCAATAATGTTGGGGCATTGATTCTGTAAAACTTTCCTGTTTAAGCCCGAGGACCGTAGTCGTAGAACGCAGGGGGGAGCTGTCTTTTTATTTATTTATTATAAATTCAATTTACATATATACAGTTCCTTGCAAATGTATTCACCCCCCTTGACATTTTGTGTGTTTTGTTGCCTCACAACCTGGAATTAACATGGATTGTTTGAGGATTTGCATCAGTTAATTTACAGAACATGGCCACAACTTTGAAGATGTTGTCTTTTTTTTATTGTGAAGCAAACAACAAATAGGACAAAATAACAGAAAAGGTCAATGTGCATAACTATTCACCCCCCTAAAGTCAATACTTTGTTGAGCCACCTTTTGCGGCAATCACAGCTCCAAGTCGCTCTGGATAAGTCTCTATGAGCTTTCCACATCTCACCACTGGGATGTTTGCCCATTCCTCCTTGCAAAACTGCTGCAGCTCCTTCAAGTTGGATGGTTTGCACTTGTGAACAGCAATATTTAAGTCTGACCACAAATTTTCTATTGGATTGAGGTCTGGGCTTTGATTAGGCCATTCCAACACATTTACATGTTTCCCCTTAAACCACTGACGTGTTGCTTTAGCAGTGTGTTTTGGGGTCATTGTCCTGCTGGAAGGTGGACCTCCGTCCTAGCCTCAAATCACGCACAGAGTGGTACAGGTTTAGCTCAAGAATATCCCTGTATTTAGCACCATCCATCTTTCCCTCGAC